CAGGAACCAACCCTGCTGACACCTGATCTCAGATTTCCAGCTCCCAGAACTGTGAAGAAACAGATTGCTGTTGTTTAGGCCACCCAGTGTGTACAGTTATGGCCGCCCCAGAGAACTCATGCGACCCTCTGCTGACTGACCCGAACCCCTCTCTGACTCCATCTTTCTGGCACATTCTCTCACTTTGCACATTTTGAGATGCATTCTTCTAGGAGATCTACTCTAACTAGGCAGAAGCTTGTGCTGCCAGTAGCCAGCCAAGTATGAATTTGTCAAAGCCATCTTTTCTTCCCCTTTACCATTCTAATCTACTTTTTTTGTATACTATGAAACTTGTAACCCACAAAAAGTTAATGAAGATTAAAATCAGCAAATTAATAAAAAGATAAAACAGGAATACACACACACACACACTCATACATCTATCTTGTGTTGGTGGGAGGTATATTTCCTGAGACCGCTGTGTTTGAATAGGATATATGAAAGGCGATATAGAGGCACCACGTACATATCTGGCTATTTTACACCAAAGTTACATCATTTTAGCAGACAGAGACATGTAAGTGTCTTACAGAATTGTAAATAATCAGACATGCTGCAGCAGATTTCTCTCTGACATTTAAAGGCATCTGCCATTACCACAGGACAGTGGTTCTCAGACCTATGTGTGCATGAAAATCCCTAGGGGGTTCCTGTTAAAAACGCAGATTCCCGAGTCCCATCCCCGGAGGATGGGACCTCATGAAACAGCACCTTACACCCCGTGAGGAAGAGCCGCCGTACCTGGTAGATGGCCATGGCGCAGTGCTTCTGCAGCTGCTTATTTTCACTATTTAGCTTCTTTACCAGATTTTCAATTATCCTTTCAGCTTTGATTGCAGCTCGGTAGTTTTCCTAGGAAAGTAAACTTTAATAGTTATATATTGCATAAATATGCATAAATATAAGCGCCTATGCACACATTTATTAATAACTACACTGAAAAAACTTTCTTAGTAGATAAACACCACAGTCCAAGTTTAACACACCGTTATAACAATAAGAGAATTTAGTCAACATTTTCAAAAACATATCATCCAGGTATCAATGTAATTCATTTTCCATTAGTTTGATCGTCTCTTTCAAATAGAAGGGTGACTTCTTAAAAAAAATTCCTTAGCAGTCATGTTAACCTTAAAAGTTATGATTCCGCTAAGGAAAGTCAAGGTGAATGAGAGCAAGGGAAGCAGAGCTGGCCTGCATACCTCTGAGGCACATTCCTGCAACGTCCCCACTACTGGGATTAGCATGTTTTCATGAGAAGTCTTCAGTAACTGAGCCAACAGAGGGATGCCCCCAGCTCTACGAATGGCTTCTTTATTCGCGTAGCTCTTGCTGCAGCTCCACAGCGCCAGTGCCCCGCAGCGGGCCACCTCCCCATCGTGGGCCTCGTACAGGCTCCGCTCCGCAGGCTCTGTGGCATGCTGCCTACAGTCAAGCAGAGCGACCTACGAGAACAGATCAATACAACATAAGCGGGAATCTTCGAGATAAGACTTAACCCTGGGGTGGGATAGGGAGGGTGGGAGGGAGGGAGACGCAAGAGGGAAGAGGTATGGTAACATATGTAGCAGCATCTGACACTGTCTGCTACATGTGCTTCTCTGGATTGTCTGAGGCCCAAAATAAAAAGGAAAAAAGGGATGAAAACACACTGGAGCCTGAAAATATTAAGTTAATATAAAGTACAGTTAAAAAGTTAATGCTGCCAGGCTGTAGATGACATTGTTTAGGGGAGCATCCACCCTAATAGGAGATTTTGACCTATAAAGGTCCCAGTCTTTAATGATGAGAGTTAGTGCCCTACAGTCACTGGCATATATATGCCCTACAGTCACTGGCATATATTTGGGGTGTGAGGTGGACTTCCAATATCTGGCTATCACAGCTTGCAAAAGGACCTAGGGCCAGCCTGGCTTCAAAAAAAAAAAGACTTAACCCACCCCGCAATTTCTGCAGGGTTGCTACCAAGCTCACCTCCCTCAGAAGTAAGAATCCTTTAAGAAATTAACTTGCGTAGCACACAGCAGTCAAAGAAACAAACAGAACCTTCGAAACGCCTTCCTCCAGACTTGGGAGCTTTTACATTTCCTTCCCACAAGGAATTTAAGCCCCCCAAGAGAGTATTTTCTTAATACAGCTCTAACATTTACATTAGTAAGATTTGTAAAGCACACCCTCACCCCTGGTATCTCAGAAAAGTAGGCTCCCTAAAGCCAGGAGAACTTTTCCAGTGAGAGCTGAATGGCCTGAACCAACCAGGCTCTTAAAACCACGAGGCCTCTTTGGAGGACATGGCCCTCCCCCTGCACTGCCGAAACCAACTAAACCAAACGCACAGCAGCAAGGATCCTTTCTCTTCTCGGCAGTAACCAAAGTCACTGAAGCCCTTGAGGGAGAGGCAATTTACATGCATACAGCAGAGTGGCCGGGGAGGAAGGGAAGCCAGGCTTCCCAGAGCTGTCTTAATCCCACGCGTAACCGGAGACCAGATCCCATGGATACTGCCCACTGCACTACGGCCACCGTTTAGAAGGCAGTAGCCTGGACTGAGTCACTGATTCCTGACCCCAAACTCCTGGAGAGAGGACCCTGATTTGCATCAGGAGGACACTCATGGTCTAATTAGTTATGGCTCAAGAACGTGGGGGAAGACGATTTACACGGCTTCCAGCTAACTACCGGGCCCAGGACAGCAAGACAATGGGCTTGATCACGGGGAAGACGGTCTAAAAGTACCTGTCTATGTACTAGTTATTCCCTCGTTATCTGTACAAAGTCCAAACTCCGTAGCTCTTGGACAAGACTGTGTGTGATGTCCATGGCCCTCAATCTTCGTCTCTCACGACTCAGCCCACCTCACCCAAGGTCTGGCCACGTTACACCACTTAGTTTCCAAACATTCAGTGTTGTTTCCCAGCTCTGGGCCTTTACCAACGTGGCTTCATCTTCTTTAAATGCTTTTGCCTGATGTGTCTGCCTGATAGACACCTACTCACCTTTCAAGACTCAAGAAAGGTGACATCTCCTCTCTCCAGCCTCTCTTTTTAAAAAAAAAAAAAAAATTATTAAAAAAAAATTTTCTCTCTATCCTACTTAATTAACTAATTCATTTAAGTTTTTAAATTTTTCATTGAAGTATAGCTGATTTACAATATATTAGTGTCAGCTGCACAACATTCAATAATTCTATAGATTATACTCCATTTAAAGCTATTGTAAAATAATAGCTATATTTCCCTGTGCCGTACAATATATCCTTGTTGCTTAATTATTTCATACATAGTAGTTTGTACCTTTTAATCCCCTGTATTGTCCCCACCCCCTCCACTCTCCCCAGTGGTAACCACTAGTCTGTTCTCTGTATCTGTGTGTTTGTGTTTCGTTATGTTCGTTTCTTGACCCTCCTTCTCCAAGTAGAGTTGACTGATCAGCCCCCTTAGTTCCTCCACTATTCCCAGTACTGACTTGCTCGAAATACCTAATACACTCACCATTATGCTTCTATTTTTGCCCATATCTCCACTGCCCTCACATCCCCACCACCATGAGGCTGTGACATCACTGTGGGCGGGGACATACATTTATTTACATTTATATTTATACTTGTATTCCCACCACCTTGTTCTGTGGATCTACACCTCTAGAGGCATTCGAAATGGTTTTCAGTGAAAGGACCGAGTACGCTCTACATACAGAGGAGCACGTAAAGTGCCCTCGGAACTGACGGCCCTGGACATGCAGTGCTTCCGGCCTGGGTGCACTCTCCCTGCTTGCTGAGGCGTCACACCTTCTGCCCAGTCTTATCGAGCTGCCCCTCCAGAGCCTGAATGCCATCTAGGTGCCCAGTGCCCTCCTGCCTGCTCTGATCCTGCCCTTGGTTCCCTTGCTCTGGGGCCATAATCAGCCCACGGCTTCATCTCTGTACTGTGTGATGTCCCTCATTTCCAGTCTTCGTTGGGGACTCTTGCCTGTGTGTCACATACTGCCCCCCAACACACGTACCCAACCAAAAGTGGATCCCCAATCCTGGTTGAGAAGTCAGATGTGTTCCCAACCCAGCAATTTCAAGTTTATCCATGAATGGTCTTTCCTGTTCCTAATTTTGCTATTATTTAAAATTAAATTAAAATGTATGTCATTATTTTGATTACGTGACTGTAACTCTCCAAACTCCAGGCCCCTAAACATGACGCGAAAGATGTCCATAAAAACATATGTTAGTGTTCTGTCTTTCATTCTTATGGAGTACTTTCGGTGGACAGCCACGTCAGCCTACCATACGATTTCATTATTTAAGCAGGACAATGATAATCACAGTAATAACTACTTTCCCCCCAACGTTTTATTATGAAAATTCTCAAACACACACAAAGGCTGAAAGAATATAGCAACATCCACATACCCACCACCTGGATTCTATAATTAACATTCTTCCACGTCTGTTTTATCACATAGCTAGCTATCTATTCACCCATCTATCCAGCCATAAGTCCACCTTGTTTTTGAGGCAAATGATTATAAGGTATAGTGCTCTACAGATTACAAGTGGATAAAGTGAACACACAGAATCTCTTTCAGTAAATTTCTGAACATGCTTCACTGTGTACTTATTCACATTAAATCCATATGAATTCGATAGATATTTATTAACTGTTTATATGTGTGAGGTCCTGGGCGGGGTGCTGAGGATGACACTAAGATGAATAAGACACGTCTCTCATCTTCAGGAACTTAAAGTAGGGAAATGGTGACAATCCAGCGTGATAAAAGCCGTGGTAGCGACTCAAGATCCAGTGAGGATACAAATGCACTTCCATATTGCACTTCATAAAGATCCCTCCTGCTGTGGCAGGGGCACTGAGCCTACTTTTTTCTTTCAGCGATAGTTACTGAAATAATCATTTTTTCTCAATATAAAAGTAGTACACAACAAACTGGCAAATGTAGAAAAGTAGGAAGGAAATTTGGTGGTCATTTCAGAGAAAACCCCTGATGAACCATTTTGTGTATTTACTTCAAGTGATTTTTCTATACTTGTTAGCTCTGGTCTTTAAAAGTTTGGATCATGGGTATCATCAGTTTTTAATCCTGTTATGATTTTATATAATATTAAACATGCTACTATATAAACTTCCAAAACACAATACTGACAGCTGACAGTGGATGCTTCTTATGGATATGATGCATATTATTTTACTAACCTCATACTGTAAAACATGCTGTTTTCAGTTGTCTCCCCTCTAAGTAGCAATGAGATGAGTAAGTGCCTGCAGCTCTGACTGTCTCCATGGAGGACACTTCCTCATAGTGAGGTCACCACAGCAGAGGACATGGGCTACCAGACAGTGTTCCACTGCAGAGGGTCTCACTACCCTCCCTTTTTTTTTTTTTTTTAACTTTTTATTTTATACTGGAGTACAGTTGATTAACCATGTTCTGATAGTTTCAGACTGCGTGAAGTAAGTCACCACCCTCTTACCAACGCTGCCCACACACACGAATGTATCCCTACCTATGGGATACGTAAAAATTACTTCTATTTGTTTAAATTTGTATTTCTTTGAAAAATGAGGTTGAACATGTTTTTTGGCTACTCGCCAATGTAAATACACAAAAATAATTTTCAAGGACACGTTAACCAAAGAGAAGATTCCCAGAGCACGCCCAGTGGTTATTTGATGTCCGGGAGGAGCCGGGAAGGACGGCGGGGGGCCCGCCGCCCTGAGTGGCACTGACTCACCAGTTTGGTGATGCCCCCGTGGCGTCTCACCGCCCGCCAGGCTCTCCTAAACTTGGCGACGTTCGCAATTGTCTCAGCTGCCAAACATTTCAGGCTCTTATGTGGAGAGTCAAGAATATTAACCATGACTGGCAAGCCCCCAAGGTCAACAATGTTACGTCTGATTTGAGGATTATGACTGATTTCCTTCAGGATTTTTAACGAACCAATCTAAAGGAGAAGAAAAAGTTATAGATGAATATGGGTGCTTAATGCACAACCAGCGCTATATTCTTTAAAAAATTCCAAGCTACCTAAAATCCTTCCCCAATTAAGTTTCTCAAGGGAACAGTTTCTATTCCCAGGGGTTACACATACCCCCCGCATTTTCCTTCAATTAAGTAAACAAACGTTCATCATTTAAGAAGCACATGCTAATGGAAGAGAGCCAGAAGAGAAGGAAGAGAAGCAGAGAGTTGACAAGAGCAGCTAACAGCTAACAGCAGAAGCGGTTGTCAGTAATCGTAAAGACAAGAAGCAAGCAGCAGGAAGGGCAGACGCCCAGCACTGAGAAGAGAAGCAGGTGAAGGCGCGAACGAGGCCCCTCGTCCACTGTGAGCCAGCCACTCACCATACATTTGACTTCATCTGTCTCGAGTAAATTGATTAAAACTTCAAGGCCTCCAACATCCCTGATCGCCAACTGGCAGGTCTCTTGTGCTAAGTTGAAGTCCTGCATGCAACACAATGCAATCACCGTAGCCGTCTGATTTCCTCCCTGCAAAGACGCAAGGCCACAGGAAGGTTAAATAAGCTCACACTCCCATGGAAATTTGCTAAAGGGTGATGAATCCATGAACCGGGAAGTGTGTGACCCCATACACAGCATGTTCAATTCTTTTAAATTCTCTGAGTGGATTATAATTTGTTAAATGAATCATGCAGAGCTGAAGCACAAGAAAGCTGCGCAGGGCGTCGTAAAACATTGCTCCAGTCGAGAGCCACCATGTAAAGGTGGTCTGTCTGCTTTAAACAGCTGCGACATTAGGTGGTATGGGGATATTAAGTAGAGCCAGGGGGCGAGCCTTGAGAGATGGTCTGAGGAACGTGAGTTTTATGTGGAGGTAACAGGCAGTCCCTGAACTGTGTACCCTGCAACGCAAACCGTGTCTGAAAATTATTCTTACACGTGTACACAGAACAGTCTGGGACAGAGGAAGCCTGGGGAAAGCAAAGCCACGTGGGAAGCAGCACAGCCGTCCACACGGGGACCGAGAGTAAGTGGAGTGAGGGCGTGGGGCTGAGAAAGAGAAGGTAGTTCCATTAAACCCGGGGACCTACCGATGGGGGGACTGAAGGAGAAGAAAGACAGTTTCACTGTCGTGAACGAAACACTGGCCACCAACACGCAAATCAGTGTCTATTTAGCTAATCACCACAAATGAAGAGCAGTGGGGAATTGCTTTTTTAAAAAATCCAAGAGATTCAAAAACTTTTAATGATTGATCGGTGAATCAGGCCTGCCAGGAAATTAAATCAGAATTCATTGCAGGAATTCTTAAGCAATGTCCACTGATCATTAACGCTTTGAAAATCTTTGAAGAACACAGCATAGTACATATTGCTGCGACTGCTATTGAGAGTGGTTGGTAAATAAGAGTCCCCAAAATAGTTCATAAGACACAAAAGCAACATTTCTAACGGAGTCAAGAATAAACTATTTTTGTAAAAGGTGTTCATAAACGACAGCCCTGGATTTCTACCTCAAAACATAGTAGCAATGGCCTCCAATAAACCTCTCTTTTTTGAGGGAAGACACCTTCAAGTCATATTTATTATCATTTGCAAATCATTACTTTATATTGCTATATATTACATACATGTGTATGTAGATAGGTAGTCTTAGCACAAAACATGGAAATTATCTTCAAGCTACCCACCCCCTCCTTCACATCACACAAATGCACACATGCCAATCCTTTGTGAATTCAACACAATATGTTTCTTTTAACATAAGAAACTAAAGTGGGATCAGTAGAGGGTGAGCATCAGAAAGTGAAGGAGGAAACGCTTAGGCTCAGACTTCCTACTAACTCCTTTCCAGAACATTCCTTCCACTTCTCTAAAAGTGCTATGAGCGCCATTTCTGCTTTCATTCTAACTTTCCCTCTAGGCTGTCCTCCATATTCAAGATTAAGTTTAGAATGACGAGAGCCTTAATTCTGTTACTTACATTTATCTCTTTATTCCATTAAAATAATAAGTGTTGTACTTATAGCTTTTAGCATCTTTTTCTCGATATCAGGAGAAATTTCAACACCACCAATTTCCCCACAGTGGGTTTTAAAACATAACGCAACACACCCTCTGTCACTGCTGTCAGACACAGGATCCCACATGCCAGCACCTCTTAGGAAAAGGTAGATATTTTGTAAACCATAAGGAAGAATCTAAGTGCTAACCATAATTGATTAAGAAAAATAATACAGGAAAAGGAAAAGCAAAGAAAATAAGGGAAACAAGTCATTAAACAAGGCTCTTTTTCTGAACTTAAATGGAGAAAGGAGGCAGAAGGATCCTCCCGGGGCACCTGCAGGAACAGAGGTGGGCTCCTACATTAAAGGTTTGAAATGGAAGCCGAGGGCCTCGGGTCGAGAGGGTTCTTGAGACAGTGGCTCCAGACTCAAGCACAAGCAGGAGGCGAGAAGTCGTCCAAAAGCACTTCCGCCCCCCAGGCCACTCCCTGGACGGGGATGTTCTGTCCTGACGTTCTCGGCCGCACGTGACGGAGGACCTTCTCGACCCCTACGCCTGCATTCTGGTTTCTGTGATGACAGCACTTTTCTACTTAGACACTCAGCACAAGCTTTGCTTCCTAGTTCAAGTGCTTTTCATTTGTCTCTTGTAGACTATTTCCACCTTTTGAGTTTTATTTCATTACTGATGCTACAACTGACGACATACATTTTTAAAAGTCATGTAAGTGCAGCTGATGCCCGAAAGGTAAGGCCCTGTATTTTGCTGAATTATCTCTAGGCCAATTTTGAAGCCAAATGATGGCAAATTTACATTTATCATTAAGAAGTTAGATCCTTATAGAAAAAATATTTTTTTCTGTAAATCATCAGCTTTTTCTGAAAATCTGGAAACATATTCATAGGCTTGAGGGATTTTTTTAGAACAGTATTTTATGAGGGAAAGTTAGTTTTTCCACATTTCAGGATTTACTTCTACTCTTGTCACTGACCACACTCCCCAAAGGATTATAAATCTTTCAGAATGAATACCAGCGGATGGGAGCCAAAATATTCAATGTACAGAGCCACAAATGTTAGCCAATTGCTATTCTTTAAATACCAGCTATGTCAAAGGATTTTCAAATGTCCGTTCTACTTTGACCAGATGCCATAAACATCTTACTGAAGAGAGTAGTGCAAATATGCGAATATGCTCCTTTTCAATTAAATCTCCCCTGAGAATGTAATTAGTTGCCAATACTTATTTTCACATTTTATCACGCATTTGCATTTGTGAGGTTTTAGGAGCTGGCGAAAAACGCAGTAAAATATTATTTTACTAGCTTCTGAAGGGTTTTGAAGAATGCTTCCAATAAGCTTTTCTACGTCTTGAATTAATGCAATTCTTTTGCTAGTTGTCGTCCATCCCCTGCTGCTTCTCAGACAACTCCAGGCTCTACCGGCCTTAGGATATTTTACCAGCTCAGGTTCCTTTCCATGACCAGGAGGCCGACGTCCGTGGTTGCGATCATGCTTCAGACATGCCGAGATCAGACGAATGCTGCTTTCTCTCACTTTTCTCAAAATTTCTTCTTAAAAGATGAATAGAGGACATCTTAAAAAACAATGTTTTTCCTGGATTTAAATAAAATCTTTGAAATAAAGAAGCATTACCCTAACCAGTATGTAGAGTAATCCCCTCCCCTTACTGCTGATAAGGAGGAAATAAACATGACTAAGCTGAGATGAAGCATGTATTCAAGAGTAAAACAGGGAGAAAGCTGCCTGAAATCACTTCTGTATTCTTTCATTCAACAAATTTGCTTCCTATTTACTTAACTATTTGCCGAGTCCGATGCCAGGCCTTAGAGACATCCTGGTAAACAAACACAGACGTGGTCTTTGCTTTTCTGGAACTCACAGTTCAGTGGGGAAGAGCGATTTTAATTTTTTAAAGCCCATCCCAATAAATGGAGATTTTAAGTCCAAGAGGTGCCATAAGGGAGAGGGGCAGAGGGCCAGGGAAACCCACAACGGGGGCTTTCACCGGGCCGGGGCGTCAGGGAAGTTTCACCTGAGGAGAGAAGCCTGGGCGCAGGTCCGGACGGGAGGAGGTGCCGGCGTGATGGAAGGCCGCAGTCAAAGGAGCGGGTGCAGCCACGTGGGTGAGGCCAGGAGGAGGCCGGTGGCCCAGGTGAGCGGACAGGCCAGGCGGGCCACACGACCTGCTGGGCCAAAGGCCAGGCTGAGCACTTTCGCCTTTAGTTCACAACAGACAGAAAATATTCAAGGGTGGCTGGTCTGGGGGGAAGGAGAGGGCTAACGGGAGCTGACTACATTCTTACAGATCCCTCTGGCTGCACAGGCCCCTGGCTGGAGCCAGCCAGCGTGGACCGGTGAGACCACTCCGATTACCGCAGGAACCCGGAGCAGGGGACAAGGGGCTGGCAGGCCGAGGTGACCCATCACGTGCTCGAGTAACTCGGTTCCTAAAAGGGTGCCAGAAGCTAGGAGGTGGCAGTGCGATGGCAAGCACGCTCCCAGGGCCATCCTTCCGGGCGTCCTGTCGGACCCAGTGAGACAGGATGGTAGGTGGAGGTGCAATGGGGAACAGAAGTCTCCTTCTCCTGTTCCCCACTGTCTGCAGTCAGGGGGCAGCGGTTGAGACCCGGTGAGGTGACACAGCCATCACAGCCGTCCAGCTGGCTTTCAATGCTCTCAGCATTTTTTCCTCCAAACATGCCACTCATAGAGCAAGAGCCGCGAACCCTGCCAACGACTGTTTATTAATGATGACAGAGGGGCTGGCGCCCGGCGCAGAGCTTGGCTCAGAGATGCTCTTCATCTCTCAGGAGTAGAAATGGTAAAGAGTCAGAGCTCCAAGTGAGTGGCATAGAACCACGTAAGTCAAGCTAGTAAAATATATTGCTTTGCCTTCGGTTTATTTGCAAGCCAATTTTATGCTGATAATTCAGCACTCATAAACCTAGGGCTCAAGAGATGAGACCAGAAGGAAACTCCAAGGAAAAAGAGAAGATGCTGTTCCAGAAGAAAAAAGAAATTAGACTCAGATTGTTGGATTGCAGGCTTGCTAAGAAATTTTTTTTTTTTTTTTTTTGTGGTACGTGGGCCTCTCCCTGTTTTGTCCTCTCCCGTTGCGGGGCACAGGCTTCGGACGTGGAGGGC